GGGGGGGGGCTTTTAAAGCGTCGCCTATGGACAATTTGGGGTACTGTATTTTGTTGCCGTTTCACAGACGCACCCAATTTTGAACCTGGGCATGTTGGGTATCCGTTTACACGTTGCAACCTCATCTTTTATATTTTACCCAAAAAATTGGTATTTTATTGTGTTTTTGGGCACTAAATTTACCTACAGTGCATTTTTTTTACTATATTTTTTTGGTTTTGATAAGGAGTTGCGGCAATATCGTGCAACGTAAAAATGTGCAACTTCCGCCATTTTATTCTACAGGGTCTCGGCTTTCAGAAAATATATCATGTTTGGGGGGTTTTAAGTAATTTTCAGGCCTAAAATGTGGATTACAACACGGGTGCAAAAAATGAAGAAAAAAAAACGGACTTTGTCCTTAAGGGGTTAAAAGTAAAGAAAAAGATGTCCATGTTTCCGCCCGGTCTCGAACCGGGGACCTTTCGCGTGTGAGGCGAATGCTGCAGCGGCCGGTGTTTGGCAGTGAAAGGGTTAACCCTCATTCTGTGCTGAGTACAATTTTTATATTGGATTTATTCATTTTTGTGGCGCTTTAATCCTTCTTATATATTTTAATCACTTCAGGGAACCCCCTGGGATGAGAGCTTTAGATCCTGCTTCATGATCTCCTCCTACCCTACGGTCCGGCTCCCCACCATCGCATCCTCTGTCAATCTGCTACACTATTATTATTATTATTAGTGATGCACCGAAACATATCGGCCGAAAGTGCCATTTTCCTGATGATACATCGGCGCATCCCTGCTTTCTTTCCTCCCCGCTGGGCGCTGCTCTGTGTCCCAGCGGGGAGGAGAGAAAGTGACAGCCGGCCGAGCGCTGCGGGAGGAGAGCGCTGTGAGCAGCCAGCGTCTCTCCTCCCACACCGCTCAGCCTCCTATCACAGTCCGGCAGAGCGGTGTGGGGGCGGAGACAGTGCTGTCACAGGAGGCTGGTGTCTCCTCTCTACACCGCTCGACCAGCCTCCTGTGACAGCGTGTCAGAGAGGAGAGCGGGTACAAGCAGGCGGTGATCAGTGATCGCTGAGTGTTTGTAGATAATTGAGGACATGGTATATTAACTATATCCTCAATTATGAATGAATGGGAAGTGATCTACATCACTTCCTGTTCATTCATATTTGTAGTTATAGTAATCACACTCTGTCCTCATGTTATGAATGATCAGGAACACTCAGTATAGAGGATTCCTGTTCCTTGATAACAGGGGATACAGAAAAAGAGATTGAGGACTCTGTTTGTTTGTCTCTGAGGGCTCTGTGTGTCTCTGAGGACTGTGCGTGTCTCTGAGGACTGTGTGTGTCTCTGAGGACTGTGCGTGTCTCTGAGGACTCTGTGCGTGTCTCTGAGGACTCTGTTTGAGGAGGAGAGACGCTGGCCGCTCACAGCGCTCCCCTACCGCAGCGCTCGGCCGCCTGTGACACTTTCTCTCTTCCCCACTGGGACACAGAGCAGCGCCCAGCGGGGAGGAGAGAAAGCACGGATGGGCCGATGTATCGGCCGAAACATGGCACTTTGGGCATTGTGCCAAAAGTGCAATTTTCGGCCGATATATCGGCGCATCCTTATTAAATACATAAAAATATTTTAAAAAATTTAACATAAAAACATTTTCGGTTTTTAAATTTCTTTTCCGGTGCACCTCTAATTATTATTATAATACAGGATTTATTATAAGACATTACAATCACAATACAAGACAAGATGGTAAGGAGGGCCCTGCCCCTGGGGGCTTACAATCTAAGTCCCCATTCACATGTAGCGACTTATCGCGCGATTTCCGCCGCGATATCGCGCATTTTTGCCGCGCGATATCGCGAGAAGTCGCCGGCTAATGATAGTCAATGGAGCTGTCTTAGCTCCATGTCGCGGTCGCAGGTCGCAGGACCCTTTTTTCGGCGGATTTTGCTTTTTTCTATGGAGCCCGACGGAGAAGGTCGCGCTACCGTCGCTGGAACGTCGCCCCGAAAGTCGCGCTATCCCGGCCGCTGCAAAGGTAAGTCGCTACATGTGAATGGGGCCTAAAAGGGAGGGGGACCTTTGTAACCTTTGCTACTTTGTAACACGTATCATTATTATCCTTTTCATGGGAAATGCGCGTTGCTAAGGGCCTGTTCACACGACGTCCGTTTTATGTGCTGACCTGATCCCTACACTCCTGCACTAAAAATGCCTCCCAATGTATCCCTATGTGTTTTACGGGCTACAGTTCTCACGTGCGCCGTCCGTTCAGGTTACCACAGAAAAATACTGCATGTCACATTTTGTACGGTCAGGAAACTGTCCGGAAACGCAAAACGCGTCAAAAACGCACCGCACTGCAGCTAACATACTGACAGCCCCACTCCAGCAAAAACAAAAAAAATAATATATATATATTTTTTTACTGGAACGCATCAAAAACGAGGCAAAACACATAGCACCTCGTCTGCAGATCCGGACCTGATCAGGACCTGAAAATCATGTGAACAGGGCCTAAAAAGCACGGAGTTGCACCTTTTTGTTGATTTTATACCCGACGCGGCCCGGACTCTTCAAATAGCAGCGGCTAGTCTCCTTCAGAACGGGGCCCCCTGATTGCCAGCCCGTCATGAATTCCTGCTCGCTGCTTTGAACCCGAA